AGAAGGTAGAAGACCTGGATGCTTCATACCTTGTATGCAGATACCTTATGTTACGAAGTTTCCATCTGTCATATGCCCTTTGTCCTTGACCTCATTTTCATGGTTCAGTGACTGCTTGAAAAAAAATTATAGTTTTTTTGTCATGTGAATTTCTAACTTATTATGAGTAATAGGATAACTATATTTGGTATATGGGTTCCTTGCAACGTCTACATGTCAGTCAGACAGAGTTGACCTGACCTTGACCTCAATTCATGGATCAGTGATCAAGGTTAAAGTTACGTGATTAGGTCCGTTTCTCAGATACTACAAGCAGCAGGTCAACTCTATGTGGTGTATGGAATGATTGTAAGGGGTACATGTCAGACTGGCAGGTTTCATCTGACCTTGACCTCATTTTAATGGTTCATTGGTGAATGTTAAGTTTTTGTGTTTTGGTCTGTTTTTCAAGTACTGTAAGCAACAGGTCAACTATATTTGGTGTATGGAATGATTGTAAGGTGTACATGTTTGTGTAGCTGGTGTCATCTGACCTTGACCTCATTTTAATGGTTCATAGGTCAATGTTAAGCTTTTGTGTTTTGGTCTGTTTTTCAAGTACTGTAAGCAATAGGTCAACTATATTTGGTTTATGGAATGGTTGTAAGGTGTACGTGTCTGTCTAGCCAATGTCATCTGACCTTGACCTCATTTCCATGGTTTATTGGTCAATGTTAAGGTATTGTGTTTTGGTCTGTTTTTCAAATACTAATAGTAACAGGTCAATTATAATTCGTGTATGGAATGATTGTAAGGTGTACATATCTGTCTAGCCAGTATCATCTGACCTTGACCTCATTTCCATTGGTTAACATTAAGTTTTTGTGTTTTGGTCTGTTTTACAATTACCATAAGCAATGGGTCAACTATATTTGGTTTATGGAATAGTTGTAAGGTGTACATGTCTGTGTAACAGTTTTTATCTGACCTTGACCTCATTGTCATGGATCTTTAAAAATTAAACCAAGCTATTAAACCAAGAGTTCCAAATGGTGAAGTTGAAATCATCCCTTCATAAATTTTACGGACGCCATCACGAGTTGGTTGACCGTTATGGAATAACCGTTTCACAGATGATATAGGATATGTTCCTTATGTCGTAACTACAATACCCTTCCCTTTTCACGAATGTGACCTACCGAATTAGACTATTTACCGGATTTGTAATAACATAAGCAACACGACGGGTGTCATATGTAGAGCAGGATCTGCTTACCCTTCCGGAGCACCTGAGATCATCCCCAGTTTTTGGTGGGGTTCGTGTTGCTTAGTCTTTAGTTTTCTAGGTTGTGTCATCTGTACTATGATTTGTCTGTTTGTCTTTTTATTTTTGGCCATGGTGTTGTCAGTTTGTTTTCGATCTATGAGTTTGACTGTCCCTCTGGTATCTTTCGTCCCTCTTTTATGTGACACTTGTAGTTAAACCTTTATCTTTTAGACTTTCAACATAAAATCAATTGTCAGTAAAACGGGGGAGACATTACAGCGTGTACACTCTTGTTAATTTTGGGGCTTGTTTTCAAATTGGTCCACATTAAGGTCCAAAAGGTCCAAAATTAAACTTTGTTTGATTTTAACAAAAATTGAATTTGTGGGGTTCTTTGATATACTGAATCTAATGTGTATTTAGATTTTTGATTTAGGGACCAGTTTTCAAATTGGTCTACATTAAAGTATAAAGGGTCCAAAATTAAACAAAAATTGTATTTTGGGCCCAGCTTTCAAGTTAGTCCAAATTGGGGTCCAAAATTGAACTTTATTTGATTTTAACAAAACTTGAATATATGAGGTACTTTGATTTGCTGAATCTAACTGTGTATTTAGATTTTTGATTTTGGGCCCAGCTTTCAAGTTGGTCGAAATCAGGGTTTAAAATTAAACTTTGATTGATTTCAACAAAAATTGAATATATGGGTTCTTTGATATGTTGAATCTAACTGTGTATTTAGATTTTTGATTTTGGGGGCCTGTTATCAAATTGGTCTACATTGAGGTCCAAAGGGTCCAAAATTTAACTTTCTGTTCGATTTCATCAAAAATTAAATTTCTGGGGTTCTATGATATGCTGAATCATTTTGGATATTGGACCATAATAGGTAAAAGTGCAATTTCAAAATTGTTAGTTCTTTGACCACATTATTCTGTGTCAGAAACCTATGATGTGTCAAAATATTTAATCTCAATCCAAATTTAGAGCTGTATCAAGTTTGAATATAGTGTCCATACTTGCCCCAACTATTCAGGGTTCGACCTCTGCAGTCGTATCAAGCTGCGCCCCGCAGATCATTTTTTTGTAGGATAAATTGAGAATGACATTTTGAAATTGATTGAAATTTTAATGGACTGTTTTGAACCACTGAAGAGAAGCATTTACCCAAAATGTTTTTAAAATTTAGCTAGATTTTAATCCTTTATTATATAAATTTATGTTTTCATTCCTTTCCAAATTTAACTGAATTCTTGTGGTTTGTTTTGTTTGTTTGTCAGCAGCATTCCAGTGAGCACCCGACTGGAATTGAAATAAAGAAAAGACAACATGCAAGTTAGGTCTGTTTCAATGATCATTATTTCACTCCACTCCAACTTCAAACTAGTATCTGAGACAAAACGTGACAATTTCAGTTTCCTATTAACAACTTCATATTTATAAGTAGTAACATCTCCTCTGCCCATCGTATGATGTTTTCATATCTTAATTCACACAGTACGAACGTGCAAGTTAACATAATAAGGACCTTATCAACATGGATGTGCTCCCTACACAAAATCCTCCAGCAGGTTTTGAGGAAGAACGGTTAAAATTGACACTACACACGTTTTAACTGCAACCATCAATTCAACGAATTTTTTTCCTGGTCTTGGATCACTGGTGAGGCTGCATAGCAGGAAACGCTTGCCTTATCGAGCATATGGTGTTGCCTCGTTTAGAATTCATGCAATTTCCTCACTTTTTTTTGTGATTTATATTTTATTAAAAATGGATCTACTGTTGACTCTAACCTATTGGAGTTATTGCCCTTCATTGACCATTAATGCCAGATGAAAGATATTGTGAACAGCAAAGTCTGTAACTTAGTGAATTTTATATCATCTTTTTTTAGTTACCCGTTATGGAATATCCGTGTCACAGATGACCGCAGGTATCTATGTGGTAGCCTCAAATCTATTCTTTACTTGTTCACGAAATGCGAAATATTACTGTAATTTCCATGTCAAAGTGAATGAGGATATACTTGCCCTTCCGAAACACATGGGTGCACCTGTAGTGTTCTATTTGTGGGGCTCGTGTTGGTTTTGCTTTTGTATCCCTTGTTGGTTTTTGATATGATATTTTTCGATATGTTAGCATTGTTTCTTTCTGACATTATCTTATAAATCCTTGAACAATTTCGTAACCCTATGTTTTTCCTCAAATGTGACCTACCGAATTCAACTTATCACGGGGTATGTACTAACATAAGCAACACGAATGGTGCCACATGTGAAGCAAGCCTTGCTTACCCTTCACGAACAAATGAGGTCAACCCAAGTTTTTGTTTGGTTCGTTATGCTAAGCTTTTAGTTTTATATGTTGTGTGTTGTGTACTGTTTGTTGTTTTGTCGTTTTTCGTTTTTTTTTGCCATGACTTTGGCAGTATGTTTTCGACTTATGAGTTTGGATATCTCTCTGGTATGGTATGTTTTCTTTTTCTTTTTCGTGTTGCGCAATATTCAGTATTTTGTATAGTTTGTTTATGGAATGGTGTTATTAACAATGTTGTTCGTTGATAATAAGTTTTCTCACAATAATATCCCACAATCATAATGTGAAATTTTTATTTCTTTAATTTTTTTTAATATATATTAAATATATTATTCCATCTCACTTAGTACTGAAATAAAAATGTAGAATAAATCAGTTTTAAGGAAACAACATTGAACAATTAATAATTGTCGATTGGATGAATGAATAATTGTTGCTTAAAGAAAAAAAAAATCTTGAAAAAAAGGAAGAAATTAGAATCAACAAAAAAAACCATCAAAAACAAGTGATACGCTCCCAATGGTTTTAAGTCTTGCTGCATCTGAAAAAAGGTTCTTAAACGTACATAAAACCTCAAATTCTTTAAACACGGCACACCTTGATCTATTGCTTTTTCTTTTGTTAGACATCTATCTAAGTAGTCGAACTACTGTATCACTAGCCTGTCAATACTGAGGTTGTGAGTTTGCATCCCGCACGTGGCAGGTTCACCCGACTCCAATCTTAATTGACTAGGATTGTCAGTTTCCTTCTGATGGTCGGTTGTTCAATACGGGATCTCCGGATTCCTCCACCGCAAAATAGCTGAAAATGGTGTTAAACACCAAATAAATAAATCAATCAATCAATCAACACCAACCATTTGTTTCAAGAGGAAGCGGCACTATAAAAATCCTCACTCATTACCATATAGATTATTTAAAAAAAAATTTGTTGTTTAAGTTGATCTTCATAGTCAGTATAATGTTTCCTTATTATGCATTCAGAACGTTTTGTTTTTGAGTAAAGTTCATATTGGACAACGCAATAGGTTTAAGTGTGCGGTGTTCGGAGAACTTTCCTTTCCGTGCGTTTGTTGTGATGTACTTTTACAAAAGGAAAATATACGTAATTAGGAAAATTAGACAGATAAAACCATATCTAAAATCTGGAGAATACTACAATTAATAAACTTTACAACTGCGTGATATTCATATTTCAAACTGTGCAAAAGATGGCTGATCACACATTTTCCTTTTAAAAATGAACTGGAGTAGATTTATCACTTCCGGTTTTGAGTAAAGTTCATATTGGACAAAGCAATATGTTTGAGTGTTGCGCTGTTCGGAGAACTTTTCTTTCCGTGCGTTCGTTGTTTTTCATTTGTGTTCTATTATAATCCTCTGTAATTAAGATTCAACACAATTGGTTTGGTTCGCTATATCTATTATTTAAACATATCTTTCACTACAATTCTTAACACTTACTACTGTTGCATTCACAGATACTCACACACATGGACATTCACGACGGCAAGCTAAAACTTGATGACTGAAATAAAAATTATAACATTTTCAACTGTTCGACTTCTGTCATGGACTTTTGTTTAGGAAAGTTATTCGTTCCTTGCCTAACAGTCATTTAAAATGTTTTGAAACAATGCTGTTGATTTTTAATACACACATATTTGCCTTTTAATAATGATCAGTGACAAATCCTTTCACGAACAACTCAGCTTATATATTTTACGTTAAATTGTAATAATACAGAGAAAATGATATAATTACGCACTGCTTTTATACTCAGCAGTTGTTTTGATTATTTCTTTGAGGTTGGTGACTACTGCCGGACGTTCAATAGGTTTATGAATTTTTGTGTGATATAAAACATGGAACAACGTTAAAGAGAGAGACAATAAACCAGCTTAAAACAAACTCTGTGATATATCTGGTACCTTATGTTTTATTAGTTGAATTTATAAACAGTGTATTGAATGCACAAGCATAGCTTTCGCTTCGCTTGTTTTATGCCTATAAAGTACAGAAAAACAATAATACATTTACTAGTGATATTTCTTATTATATTATCAAGTTTGATCATCCAAACATCTTTGTCAATCTTAAAATCGTCTGCAGGATAGTAACCAGTTGCGAAAGTCAGCGTTCAAATAGTGAGCACATTTTCCTGAGAATGTTTTGGGTGCAACAATCGGCGAGAAATGACCAAAAGGGATAAGCACTGATGCACGTGCATAATGATTAACACATAGACCTTGATCGATATGGTCGTTAAAATTTACACTTTTGCTCGCAGACATCAAAGAAAAAGGATGATGATGAAAGTGATAAATGACTGTTAAATATCCAACCGTAAATTATATACAAGATGGTAATGTGATATGATTATATACCCTGCTTTGTAATTCGTTCTTTATGTAACCTTTAAAATGTTTTTGATTTTAGCTCATCTGGCATACAAAATTGTAATCCTGGTATCTATGATGAATTTATTGTACTAGACTGAAACGTTAAGTCGGATTTTTAACACGCTAGTTATAAGGAAATATTCCACAGAAAGACATTTCACCCTACCGGGACACATTTTCCTGCTTCCGAGCCAACCAGTCTGCTCTTACTCCTATATGCTGCAGTGTGCGTAACGGACAGGCAGCAAATACCAATTTTAAAAATCTTTGGTTTTACCCGCCGGGATTCGATTCCACGATCTTCTGTAAATGGGGCGAGCACGCTACTACACAACCAGCATGGCGGTGAAAAAAAGGAAATTGAAATCAATTTTGTAAACCTTGTATTACCATTTGTTTGGTAACTACCTTTATGACCTTAATTTCAACAAAAGAATTATTTTGAAAGCTTAACTGAGGTTTCAACTTCCTCAGGTAAAGTTGGCCTAAGATGGATTTGACTATTTTTAGGTACTTTTTGGTCATATAGCTCTTCAACTGTTTCGGTTCTTATACATCCTTGGCTCTCAAATATTCGGCTTTGAGCGTTCCTGATGAAGGTAAATCCAGAAAAGCGCTTCGGACGCATTAGATTTATTTTTTTGTGGTGGGGTGAGGGGTATTTACTTTTAATTTCGGTTACAATAGATTTTATTTTGGAGTAAAATTTGCAATGAAATGACTTGCATTGGATTTAGTGTTCATAATCGTTTTTAATTTTTAGCAACAGTAATTTATCATGCAATGTTCAAATCAAGGTAACAAAAAAAGGCTAAGGGAATCACCTGAGCGAGACCGCGTTCTTCGACAGGGAACATCAATTGATAGGCATGTCCCTAATCAGCAGCATGTGTTATTCAGATATTACTATGATTTAGCTTATAAGATTACACAATAACATGCATATGATGGTAAGGGAGGTATTCTGCTGACAACCAGATTTCTATGATCTTAACTAGATCGACCCAACATTCAATCAATTTTGCAGTCTAGCTATAGGTATATATGTACTGTGGATTCATTTATTTTCGTGGGTACCAATTTTTGGGAATACTCACATGTTCATGGCTATTTAATTTCGTGGTTTTACCGAAGTCTGCATACATGCCTATAGAAAATTTGTCATTCGTTGAACATTCAATTTCGTGGTTCACCTGTACCAACGAAATCCACGAAAATTGGTATCCAACGAATAATAATGAATCTACAGTATATTACTTCAGAATTGTAAGAAAAAATATGCTCACCAAGACATAAATATTCAAGTTGTTAAAAATAACTTGTGAAAAGAAGACCCATTCATGTATTTAGCATTCAGTTTATCCCAGCATGCATTATTATATACGTCACGTCTAACTTCGGGGTTTGAGTAAATACTTATTTTATAATATAGAATAATATAAGGTATAGAATGAGAATTTTCGTTTTTTTTATATAAAACTTACGCGCAATGAAGGCAACCTTCATTTCCGTGAGTCTCATTAGTTGTGGAGCAAACTGGATCCACGTGCGCCGTACAAGCACAATCATGTGTAGAATACACAATATCTTAAACGAAAACAACGCAATAATAAAACATTTCTGAAAAACTGACAGAAGTCTTTTTTTTATTTCAATAATTGAGCATTTCCCTATGACCTTCAATAGTTTCTTTTGGCGACAAAAACTCATAAAACACTGAAAATAATGTATGCAATGTCGAGAATATGTTTAGTAGGTAAGGTTAATATGACACTTTATCTCATCTAAACAATCCGAAGAATTATACCTGTCATGGCTTTTTTTAAGAGGGTGTATAATATCCCTGTATTTATACGTTATCATTAAATTAGAATAGCAAAGTTACAGAAAATATAGAAATATCATTACTTGGTTAAAACTTATTTAAATTTTATTTCAAATATAGAGATATAGTGTGAAAGTATGTAATATAAGGAGGTTTTAGCCAGCTTTAAAACCAGGATTAAACAACCATTTCGTTCGGAAAATGAGTGTTCCAAGTCAGGAATATGACTGTTGTTTTCCAGTCGTTTGTTGGTTGATATAGTCGAGCGTTTGAATTTTATTCCGAATCAAGTCACCCTTATATGTCTTTGTCCATCTGTTTTTGTAACTTGCCTGCATTCTCCATCCAGTATAATTGGAAAATATGTTTTAGGGATTTGTTTTTCATGTTAAGGCTTTCTCAAAAGCTTCCTAGTAGAAGAGAAAGTGATATTTATAAAAACAAACCCTGATAAAACATGAAATTTAATGAACATATGTGTTGAGGACCGCACAAACGGTTTGACAATATTTTGTATTTTACCTACTAAAAATATTTTTTTTCATCACCGTCCAATAACGAGCGAATACGTTTAAAGACATCGCGTGCAACATCGGGTTGTTGTACTAGTGTTTCGATGTGAATATACATAAACAACGAATGGGTGGATCAAATAGATTATCCAGACATATTACCTAAAGTTATGAACAGCATAAAGACAATCAACATCAGATTCTTCATAGTGTCTTCTTTATAGGTCGCTTTGGTAATTCCTTTAACAATAAAAATACAAAAATGGGAGCCTTTGATGACAAAACGAATAATAATAATAATAATAATGATAATAATAATAATCAATTAAAAATAATACTATTGATAATGATAATAGCAGTAATATTAATAAAAATGATAATGATAACAAATAAATAATGATACTAAAGATTATGATAGTACTGTTAATAACAAAATAATATTTATGATGATGACGAATGACTGCATACATAAATGATTAATATAATTTAAATGAAAAGAAAATCGAATAAAATATTCAGCCAACTAGCAACAATTGGCTAAGATATGAAAGATATATGCGTTATACACCTTTCCCTCTCCTATCAATCATCAATGAATTAACCAATAATATGGGGTACATTTAACACGTATATAAACATTTGATAGCAGCACAGATTGTCAGCCATAACTTCGATCAAACACTATCATTTAGACAGTAAATTTGATCCAACATTTCTTTAAATTTTCACAAATAAATTGTCCATATTTTTGTTTTTGGGAATGCAATAAATGTAAGAAGGAAGGTCAAGTTGACAACTTTAAGCAAAATATGGAATTTGAAAACTTCAAAATATCATAATATGGACGCAAAAATTTACAAAGATATATAACAAATTTGCGTTTCCCATTATAATATTTATACAAGAACTATTCCATGTTTTTTTTTAAAATCAAAACATTTTAGAGGAAGTGCACTGGCTCCTACCTTAAAATTAATCTGGAGGGTTATAAAACCGCATTACAATGAGATGTAAATTAATTAGAATTACTGATCTGAAAGTCTTTATGAAACGGATTGATGTAGTGAATATAATATTTGTAGTCTTTTTGGGTACAAGATATATAAAAATGACAGGGATGAAACACAAATATTCAATTTAAAAGTATGCTAGAATAGATGCTTCATAAAAAGTTAAGATGATTTGTCATATTTATATACAATTCTAATATGACTCTGGTCTTCTGTAGGAGGAGTATTTGCAGATTGTACTTAACCTTTTTTTTTAATATATATATATATATATATATATATATATATATATATATATATATATATTACAACAAAGGAAAAGAATTAAGAACTTTTGGATACATTTCAATTTGAAAAACGGGTCATGCAGTACTATGTGCAAATATTCCTTTAGAGGTCAAGGGTTGTATATACATTTAAAAAAGACAAGTACAATAGAAAAATATTCCTTTATACAAAGATTCGAATAATTATATTTTATCGTTATATTTTACTTAGTAATAAGAATTTAAATCATCCTTAAGTTATTTTTGGATATAAAAACAGAAAATCTGCCAAATGTTATTTGATAAATATCTAAAAGGTACTGGCGCAATGATGCTTGTTTTACAAGTTGACCCATGCTGTGTTTACTATATAGTGAACATACCTATCGGCTTTCATTAAACATGCTGAATTAAACCTGTAATTTATTATCATAATTTATCATTTATGTAATGTATTATTCTATATCTTGTTGTAAAACTATATTTCCATGTGGGTAATTCAGAAGCTTCAAATCTGCAATATTTTAATTGTTTTTTTTATTCAGAATAAATGGACAATATATTTCTTTAAGATCTTATACATTCATCGCGAATGCAACGCAAAAGGAAATCAATTATCTGAAAAAAATTTTGCTCCCATTTTACATTTGCTAGAACAAATTATTTACCCTGTTATTATTCAAGGTTCATAATTACCGCCATTTTCTTGATAAGCTTGAGTTTGGATGCTTAAATGCTATGTGTTGCTAAGGGGGCGTGCATACAAATGAATAGTGGAAAGGTGTATTTCAGTCCTTCTGCAATTAAACAAGCTGATGAATTGAATGCCAATTACAGTAAATAGTTCATAACCATTTTCCGGCTTTGACGGATCCTGGGAATCCAATGCAAAAGACTGCTTCCTTAACACTGCATTGAATTTAATTCAGCAAAATCAGTAATGTTCAGAAACTTTTAAGATAATTTAGTATGATGTTAATGTGTACACATGGTACAGGTAAATAACAACTACTGAACAGTCTGAAAATAAACTGAACAGATCTTAATTGACTGCAAGCAAATTGTCTGAACAGTACTGAATTTACCGCAGTGGATAGGTCTGAAAAATAAATGAAAGACTGAAAATGACTTAATGCTTTTTGTTCAGTCTGTTAAGAGCTGTTCATAACAAAATGACCGTTTCAGGTCAAAATGTGTTTACTAGAGAACGTTTTTGATTTATTTTTAATTTGTTATCGTCCTGAATATGCATGAAACATTCCCACTTGACATTAAACAAAAAGCGATCAATCAATAAAATTCAAATCTCATAATTTTTTTTTTCGTGCTTAAGTAAGATCTCACTCACAACCACAAATAAGTCGCTTATCGATATCACGTTCTATTTTCAAGCATTTTCCAATTCTAAACGCAACTACCACCCGAATGAATAGTCCAAATATTTTCATAAAATGTTCCAGAGGCGGGAATTTGAAGTAAAACCTTTGTTAAATGCGCAAAAATAAAGCTTGAAATCAAACATATGTCAACTCAGCCGGACAGGCGAAATATATAATAAACATATTAAAATCTGAACTGATCTTCTCAAAAATAAAATCATCTCCAGATATTTGGATCAAGATTGGATTTTAGAAACACATATAACGCCAAAACGAGATCGATATTTATATGATTAAATGAGAAGTACAAGGACAAATCGGGGCGACATGCCATTGAGAAGAACTTCAAGAAATCATCTGCGAAGTTTTGAATGATTCAATTTACCTTTCATTCACAAATACATTATGTATATAATTACTTTTGGTTTTGCATAAATTTGCCGACATTAGTTACATTCACTTTAAATTGTACGTGTCGACTTACCTTAAAATGTAACTGAACTTTATGTTTAACAATAAAACATCCCCTCATTTATATACATGTATGAGGAAATTATTTTATAAAACATTAAAACAGAGAAAATTAATTGACAAGGAAAATTATCTTGACAATAGTCAAAGGTGCATTCATTTGTACACAACAAACAGATTATGAAGGAACAACAGGAGGATGTTAAGTGTTTCTGATTATATAATATATAATTTCCCTACTGCTAGTTTTCCTTGAACGTGTATTTTGTTGTAATTAAAGCGGAGAAGATAAGTGTATTAAAAGCTTCGATATATTTGATGAACACCTTGTCGACGTCTATAGACAAATCAAAATGTATATATAAAATGATAAAGAGAAAGAAAATGACAATAACAATGAATAAACAAATGCAATGCTAAGTTTGTCGCAACGATTTGTCTTTGAATCATGCATACAGCATTTGTTGTAATTTAAACATAATTATAAATGAACCAATGGAATCAATAGTATCTTCCTGTTACATTTACAGACACTTTATATGATGGTGTTTTTGAATCGTGGTTGTGAAATAACCCTATATAAGTAAGGTGATTCGTAGGTATATGTCATATTCAGTAGAAACAAAGGGATTGGCGTTAAATTTTCTGTAATCTTTGACTACTATTCTTAGAGAAAATAACGTTTATCGAAGTACTGACTAAACAAATGCGCAAGTACCAAATAAAGGTTCTGATAAAATTTCCTAATTGCGAGGAATGATTTGCTTGATGAAGTACAAAACAGGCTACAGAAACAGGATAAATGCAAATCACATTGTTAGTATGATACGATTTTATTTACCTGATGTTTGAAGTGCTTGAATATATACTTTTGTTGGCAAGATTTGCCATCAAAACGAAATACTCCAAATAATCAACCACATTCAGAAATGACATGAAACAATCACAGAAAAAGATCCTGTGCTTGAACAGGTGAAAAAATACACACGTGCTTATTCATGGTAGAAAAACTTACCTGTTGTATCGTTCCTGAATTAGATCGATTGTTGGTGCACGATTGTTAATATATGATTTTGGAGCACTATATGTGCTTGTTATCATGCAGCTTACTGAAATAGAAAAACAAAGGATATGGGGTATCCATCCATGACACAAAAGCAGTACATGCACAGCAAAAAATATATACACAAAAAGCAAAGGAACAATGCTTTTATTGCTGTTCTTCTTCTCGAAGTTATAGTGAGGTCTTCAACACGGAACAAAAAACTCTCACCTCACTGCAAGTTTAAGACGACCCCTAGCACCGGCTTAAACGGAATTCTTTGCACAAATAATTTGAATAGACTTTGCAAGATGTAACACCACAAAATTGGGCCCGGTCAAAAAAGAACATACTGGAAAGTAGTACAGACTTAAAACAAAAAAGTTCCTACGTATAGGTGTAAATATAAAACTGTGTAAAATGTATTTTAGTAATTAAGGTATCAGATGAAAGGTGGAGGACTGGTGATCCTTGTAGAACATATATTGACTGATAATTTATAATAATACAAAAATGAATGAATGAATTCCAAAATTGAGGGCACATATTGCCTATTTCTCAGATATTTTGTTCCTGGTTTGGTGTATTCAAAATTCCGGTAACCAGTACGATGTGATGCATAAATAACTGTATATTGATCCCGCTCCATAAAATGTTTGACAGTGAAAAAATTAACGTGGATCGGAATGTGGGCCAAGAAAATGTGGTGTGCGTCTTATTGAGATTTTAGTACACAAACTGGTCTAAAATTGAGAGAATGATGTGGCACACATAAGAGAATCATTTTCAATATTTGGTAAAAGCACTGTGGGGAAGAACTTCGCTTTCGAAGAGCGCATGTAGTGTACAAAATTAGCTTGTTATCTTTTTATTTTATTTGGTGTGTCTTAAAAATTCAAACCCATTTGTTTGGTTGTCCGTGCTAATTGTAGTAGTGGACAATGTTTTTTCCTTAGATAATTGACTTGGTTTTCTGCACATATTTTAGTGTCTAATCACAAAAAGATGATGGATATACAACAAGAAAATATTCAATGGACATCAATTGTCCTTACAAAAAGCATTTACT